AAAAAAAAATGACGTTTCGACGGCTCCATGCCATCATTCTCAAACTCAAATAAAACACATTATGTGCGTTTCGTTATATAGTGAAGTCTAAGTGCATATGACTAAGAGATCAAATAATCAACGAATAAAATACCAAGCTTGATGCGCCTCAACTGTTAAATCAAACGTTTTGCTTTAATGGAGTCGGATTGAGTGTTAAGAGTAGGTTTTTTTGTCTTTGATGAAGAGCATTTCATAAATTAAACAATTCAGCTTCCGACGGCATTTCTTGAGGATAGTAAATTGGTCACGGAGATCTTTGTTTCTCAGGCTGTGTACGTTCCGCAGTTGTTTACCAATGACCGCAGAATGCTTATGTTCGTTATGTGGTGAAACAGGTGTCGGCATGTATAGCTCACATAATCTGTATCGCAAAGATACATTTGTATTCATAAACAACGCATTGTTCCTTAATAAGAGGTAGTTTGAGTTCTGTAACTTTGATCTCATCAGCAATTTTCTTGTTCGTAAACACTGAGCACAAGTCGCTGTTAATTTTCTTTACGCGAACTGAGAGCTGTCTTCGCACTAAGTCAGCTGACCGCTGATCTTTAAGGGGTAGAGTAATCCGAACAGGCTTATTAACTTGAAATGTATGATCATGTGCTTGGTCTTGCGACTCATTGAATCTGGTGATTGTAGAGTGAACGAGTCTCTCAGCAGCGAAAAGATCAGATGGAGATGAGAATCGATGTGCACGATTTAACATAGTCGTGGGAAGAGATCGTTTATACCTGTTGTGTACATGGCTCCGGTAATGGAGAAGAAGTCCTTTATCTGTTGTATTCCTGTTCACGCATGTTCTTACTTGGCTACCCATCGTGAAGTTTAAAAGGTGTGCTTTGTTCAGCGTTGAAAGAAAAGCTGTAGTAGTCGACCAATCTTGTCTGCCACGGGCACATATAATTATGTTCTTGCGAAATGGCTCGACGAGAAACTGAAACAGCTTTCGGTCAACAAATAAACAATCACTGATGTCTTCCAGTTTACCACTGACCTCAAGGAGATGCCTTTATTGAGCATGATATTTTAACATCATATGACGCATCTTCGCTCTTCACGAATGCTCCCCTCGAGGAAACAATACAGATCCTTTCTAACAATGCTTTTGCTGAGAATTGATTCAATGTGACATACAACCTGAACATCAGCCGAGATGATCTCGTTACGCTTCTATGAGTGGCTACCAAACACCAAATTTTCCAGTTTAATGGCAGCCTCTACGAGCAAATAGCTGGTGTGGCGATGGGATCACCACCAGAACCGCTCATGGCAAATGCATTCATATGTTCCATCGAGGCGAAGCTAGAAAGGGAGAATAAACTACCCTATTTCTACAAAAGGTGTGTGGACGACACCTTAGCCGTGGTGCGGGATATTCCAACTGCTACAGTTTTTTTTGCAACACTGAACAAAGAACACTCTTCAATCAACTTCACGATTGAAGTAGCAATCAATAGCAAACTGCCTTTCATCGGAATGGAACTCATGAAGATGGGTGGCCAAGTAAGAACATGCGTCTATGGGAAAACAACAGATAAAGGACTACTTCTCCATTACCAGAGCCATGTACACAACAAGTATAAACGATCTCTTCTCACGACTATGTTAAATCGTGCACATCGAATCTCATCTTCATCTGATCTTTTCGCTGCTGAATGTGATAACCTGAAAGAGATCTTTCTCAAGTTTAAGTACCCTAAGAGACTCATTAACTCTACAATCACTAGATTCAATGAGTCGCAAGACCGAAAACAAGTACATGATATTCAAGTTAATAAGCCCGTTCGGATTACTCTACCCTTTGAAGATCAGCGGTCAGCTGACTTAGTACGAAGACAGCTAGCTCTCAGATCTCCTGAAGAAAAATAACAGCGACTTGCGACCAGTGTTTACGATCAAGAAAATTGCTGATGAGATCAAAGTGAGAGAACCCAAACCACTTCTTATTAACGAACAATCGTTGTTTATGAATTCAAATGTGATCTGTGCAATACAGATTATGTGAGCTATAATAAGCCCGTTCAGATTATTCTAACCTTTAAAGATCAGCAATCAGCGACTTAGTACGAAGATAACTCTCCGATCTCGCGAAGAAAATTAATGGCGACTTGCGCCCAATATTTACGAGCGAGAAAATTGCTGATGAGATCAAAGTGACAGAACCCAAACTACCTCTTATGAACGAACAATGCGTTGTTTATGAATTGCTGGTTTTCAGTGTCACGCAATTCAAAATAGATCAAAATAAAAATCAAAACCGTTCAATAGATAAAGTCCAGAATCTGGGAAATGAAAGA